TCTATTTTAATTCTACTTTATCTATTTATCTTCTTTTTTATATAAAAAAAAACTAACACTACACATATATATATATAGCTTGCTATGTGTACTGCGTTAGGCTAACCGAGACTTGTCATTTACACTTACATATTGTTGCTCTTTTGTTAGTTTTGATTGCTTCTATTGTCCTCATTTGTAAGTGGCTTTTGATAAAAGCGTCTGCTAAATTACTAAATGTAAATGCAAATGTAAATAAAGAACCTATATGAGCTTTAACACAGTTGTAAATTTAATTACAATCGATTGCTCTATATATTGCGGCCTGATTGAATGTAGCAATAATCTCAGCTTTAAAACAAAAGGTCACAGCGCAAAATAATAATAATAATAATATTAAAAATACTTTTCCCTTAACTGTTTCCCTTTTGTTGGTGACGTTTTCAGTGTCCCGTAGTCCGGAGCTGAAAACCTCTCTGGACGTAGCCTAAAGTAGCGCACAGAGCACAATTCAACGCTGTGTTTATCCTCACGCGCGCCGTGACGCTTAAAAGCGCATTATCACTCCGCCAGGCTCAATTCTCAGTTCTCTCTCCCTCTCTCGTGCCTCCCTGCACATTGTTCACTGACAGTCCGCCGAAGAGTGTGGAAGTGACACCGGCAGCTTCGCTTCGCATGGGAAACTTGTTGAAACTACAAATTATGACGCTCAATATGCCGGAGTTCGCGTTAAGAAGAAAATGAAATTCATTTGTAAACATTAATTCAGTTGTTACACGTTTAAAAAGCTTTCCAAAGACGACTTATGTCTCTTCGTGGAGCAACGGGCGAACAAGGAGGTGTTCGTTTTTTACCTGGGAACAGGTATACTGTAGGGAAACTGGAGTAAAAAAAAGGTAAGAAAGACTGTATTATTGTAATATTGTATGTTTGGATTTAAGAGGTACTCTGTGTTTTTATTTGTTGATAGTTAATGGCACAATATGCAGTTTTGTTGTACAAATGACTGAGATAAAGTAGGCTACATAATATCAGCGGAGATATTATGCATATTATAAATAGACTACGGTAGCTCTAGCCGCTGTTGTGCAATTAACATACTGTGACATTGACATTTTTACATTAATTTTCTGGAAGATGTAGCCTAATATGAGTTATACATTTTTGATAAAACAGCATTTTGTTTTTTTTATAGCCCTTGAAATTTATATTTAACTGTATTTTATTATTATTATTATTATTATTATTATAGCATCTGTGAGATTTGTGATGATTTTGTTAACAAATAAAAAAGAAACTTTACTTCATTCACAAGCCATATAAAAACAGTGCGCGGCAAGTGGACTGTATCTCACAATTAGATGACTCAGTTAATTGTGTATCACAAATGAACTCAGAGCATCTTGGTAGAAGCCAATAAAATGATTCAAATTACATTAAATAAAAATCAAAGTCATCCCAAGTGTATTTAATTTGTCTACGTTCTTGATGATTACAGAGGCAAACATGATTGCAGAGTGTAGATAACTGCAAACTACTTTAGGTAGGCTAATGGTAGGGTGTCATTAATCATTTGCTTTAATCTTTTGCTTACAATATGCACAGTTACTTACACATCTGGAAGTCGGAGAGAGAAGTAGATAAACACATTTGTTCGGTAGCAGCTGCGTGTCAGAGAGGTTGAAAGCAAAAAAGTGGAAAGACAATAAGGGAATAACAAAGGCTTGATATTGAATGAGGAGAAGATTGGGAATAAAGCCCATCTCTCAACCCTATTCTATTATCCTCAGATCTAAAATGAACGAAACACAGGACCTGAACATTAACCTTGAGGATGATGGAAACTGGACTTTTGTCAATGGCTCCAATGAATTCTTCTTACCTCAGAGCAACATTACATACGTTGGATATTACCTGCATCAGCCATCTGTAGCAGCAGTCTTCATAGTGTCCTACCTGCTCATATTCCTGGTCTGCATGGTTGGAAATGGAGTGGTGTGTTTCATTGTGTTACGAAGCAAAAACATGCGCACCGTCACCAACCTTTTCATCCTCAACCTCGCCATCAGTGACCTTCTTGTTGGGATTTTCTGCATGCCCACAACTCTTCTTGACAACATTATTACAGGTCAGTGCAATGCCAGTAACCATATATGCAATCTTTGCATCTTCTTTAAAGTTACTTGTTCTAGCTAAGGTTTGTTTGTTTCACAGTGTTTTGCATGCTTGAATTTTCAACTGACATTTATGGATCTCCTTAGGGCTGTCGTGACCAGATAAAGCATCTATTCGACTAGCCTGAAGGTTTAAAGTTAACACTGAGTTCATGCTATATTTGGCAGTAGAGGATGCTGTTCACCTTTGGAATGACAGAGTTTTAAGATAGGACCAGTACGAATAGCTGAGCATGACAAGCCGGTCCAGAATTTTCATACAAATGAACATTTATGAGTGCTGCTAGATTATAAAAAATGTTTTTGGTGCCACCAATTATGTGATATTGGGTCACAAATTTTCTGAAATACAGTCTTCCATTTGATTCACATTTAATGATAGCCACAAGACTGATGCAAATCATGCATGGTGATATAAACAAGACATACAGATAAACTGGGGTCTTAACAGAGTCTGTTTATTCCAAACAGATTGAATTCCGTGTTTATGAGCTGTCCTGAAACAGCCTAAAGAAAGAACTGGCACCGATATTGCTTTTCTGAGTGGGAATCTAAAACAAAATGGCATGGCATCTTGATTATGAGATTGTTGCAATTTATGCAAGATAGTTGTTTGTCCCTGCAAATGACTAATTTCTCTGGTGAGTATGAATGTAACCATAACAAGTTAATTAGAAGCTAATGGATAGTACCAAGTTACAACTTTTCTGTCATCTACTGTCACTATATTTATTTGAATATTACTTTTATGTGCAGTATGCATGAGTTTGAGTGTGTATGAATTTAGTGGAAATGAATGGACCCCAAAGGTCATAGCCTACTTGATGATATGTGTAGCAACATAGCTGCTGTCTATTCACTCACAGTCAAGAGTGTTGTTTACAAGAACTACAAACATTTATATGTCGCACACATATTTATAGAAAATGCCATTTTGGTTCCAGCAATTTGATGATAAACTGTTTGTACTTCATGGATCATGGCTGGAAATACAATGCACAGCACGATATCAACAGTTAAAATTTATTTGTAAAACCCTCATATAAATTAATCTGAAATGTTTTAAGATAATTGGAATTTGTTTATTTTTTTATTCTGTCACAGCAGCACCATAAATGGTCATATCAATAACTGATATACTATAGGGTTTTCATACGAATCGAATCATAGAAATGTATACAAATTTGGCACAAATTTGCAAAAATATAAAATAGTTATGTTTTCTGATGAGATTGGGTTTACAAATCATGCAAATCCTTTTTTTAAATCCTTTTTTAATCCTTTACTATTTTGATGTTGCTGTCAGATATTAAAAGAGAAACAAATAGGATTCTAAGAAAGCAGTCTTTCTTTGGTACTCTCTGCTGAGTGGTACAGGAAGTATGTGTTTCCATAGAGACAAAGTCATTGACAGAATTAGAGTTCACTATACTTTAATTGCCTATAACACGACAGATTAGTGTGACAACAACGGTGGCTGCAATCAGTGACAGATTTCAGAACATAAGCTTGCCCATGCTGCGTAAAAATGGAATACCAAAATGTTATGTATGTAGCAATATACCTCCGTTTATATCAGGGCTGTCTTTACTTCTCTGTTGCAGGACAGTACATCCCATCAGCACCATGCTATTAATAATTATAACCCATCCTGTTATTTGTGCAGGTGGGAAATCTTTCATAATAATGCTGTTTTTCCTTTGAGATGTCTTAATTTTATGTTGAAAAACTCGAGGTGCATCTGGACGTTGTTTTAAAATATTGTGAGGAAGAAGAGAAATGTTCACTAGGATGGATGACAGTATGTAAGAAACAAATAATTTTTCATCACACCTTAAAATCAGTTTGGGTTTCATTGCCAGTCTTTTTACAAAACTCACTGCTTTTTTGAGATCGTTGACCTACGCTAGCCCTAGGACTATTCTTGTGTCTTGCCCGCCATATACCTGTTTGCCACTGTTCGACCCTGCCTGTGTTTCTGACCTCCTCTGATGTTAATAAAGCTTGCATATGGATCCGCACGTCTCACGTCTTGTCAGCCCCGTAACAGACATGGTGTAAATATGATTATTTTATGTGTGCTATTCCGAAATAATGCCTGGGTTTCTCTGTCTCTGCGTGAGATGCTGTTTACCATGTGTGTCTCGTTGGTTGCTTTTATGTTGAAAATAATGTTTTAAATCTGCAATAATGCCAATGTAGTGCATTTAGACACCTGTTTACTTTGTAGATTCCTCATTATTGATTTTATCCCGTATTTGTTCTCACTTACTGTCCCAAGTTTAGACTGATAGCAATTCAGTGTAAGGGACATTTCATGCACCTTACACATTCCCATGGAATTAATTAGACACTGAATGCAATTTTATTTGTGATTGTGACTATTTGTGTGAGTAAGCCCTAGTGGGATGAGATGAAAGTGTTTCTTTCTGTCCAAAGTACTGCATTCTTATTAGATGCGTATTTATTCAGACTAAAACGAAGTTAGCATTACACTTGGTAATTAACACCATTATTATTTTAAAGACTTTATTAGAAATGAATTAAACTACTTGATTAAACCAAACAAAAACCTTTCTTTTTCTTCTTTTTTTCGTTTTTCTCTTGTTTTCCTTTTTTGTATGTCTGTGTGAGAAAATGCTCATTAAATAGGGTCAGCAAACAATATTCAAATAAGGTCAGTAAAAATATTAATATTAGTCATCCAAGCAGCCCAGAGGAAGCACAAGTGTGTATGTTGTTCATCAGCTTCCTAAGGGATCCTTGGGGCTCCTAAGTTTTCATGCCTTGGCATAATTTCTAGTGGGAGAGGAGGTTGTAGGGCATGAAAAGACAAAGTCCTCACTGATTTAATGTAATGTAAATTCAAGTTCCATTATCATTTAATGTTGACATATTCAAGGTAAACATTTCTCATACTGTCACTATATTGGCAGCCATATCACCCTGCAGCCCAAGACTGGTCGCCCACTGAAACTAAGCAGGGTTGAGCCTGGTCAGTAGCTGAATGGGAGACCTCCTGGGAAAGCTAGGTTGCTGCTGGAAAAGGTGTAAGTGAGGCCAGCAGGGGGTACTCACCCTGTGGTCTGTGTGGGTACTAGCGCCCCAACATAGTGATGGGGAAACTATACTGTCAACAAGCACCGTCCTTCGGATGAGACATTAAACCAAGGTCCTGCCTCTCTGTGGTCATTACTCTTTTCGAAAGACATCCTGGGATTTTTAGAGTTGTGACCTCTGCATCCTGGCCAAATTTGCCCATTGGCCTCTGACCATCATGGCCTCCTAACAATCCCCATATCTACTGATTGGCTTAATCACTCTGTCTCCTCTCCAACAATAAGCTGGTGTGTGGTGGGCGTTCTGGCGCAATATGGCTGCCGTCGCATCATCCAGGTGGATGCTGCACACTGGTGGTGGATGAGCAGATACCCCCTGACAATGTAAAGCGCTTTGAG